ACGCTATCTAAATTTAGGGTATGATCTGCGCCTATCAAAAATGTAACCGCAGATCTATCAAAAATGAAACTTTTGCTACTGGGGTAGTTTGAGAGTTGCGTGATGACACGTGATACATAGTACAAATTGTCTCAATCGATTATGACTCAGAACCGATCAAATTTTTTTTCGTTTGATAAAATTTTATAAGCTGATTTCTAAATTGCTTTATATCTTTTTTTTTTTTTGCTTCCGGGGGTGTCCGTTACGATTGAGATTTATTTTAAGGACATAGAATGGAAGAACAAATAGAACAAGCTGTTGCCATCGCTTTGAGCCCCTCTTCGGATCATACTTTGAAAAGTCAGGTGCGTAACTCTTCTCAGTATAAGGATTGATTTGTTCTTCGTTAAGACTATTTATTGATCGAAGCTTTAAGAGTTCGTTTGAAGCTTTATTTTTATGGGTTGATGTCGAGAATTGATATATCCGGATTAATATTCTTGGTCTACTTTTAAGATTATTTCTGAATTTTCTTTCAATTCTGAAAATCAAATAAAAAAAGAATCAATTAAAATTTGAATACTTTTCTATCTTGTGGATTTGTTTAATTTATTAGTGTTAATTTTGAGCTTTGATCTTTACCATAAATCATAGCTGTAATGGGTTGCTGTTAGATCGACCTGAAATTAAAGATCTAATATAAAATCTAATATGTGTATGCCTATTATTCTTCTTGACTGTCCCTTATCATGATGCTACTTGGCGTTTACACGCGATACTATATAGGCTATGAACTTTTGTGAACAAGTAAAAGCATCCCCCGATGGTTGGCTATTATGTTTATTATTGTTCGTCCGACTTATGGTTTTATGAGGGTGAATATTATCATTTATATCCGCAAAAAGTTGAGAATATACGAAGAGATTACTTACGAGATCTAAACGTCTCATGACATCTGCTAGATTCAAGACTTGAATCAGTTCAAATTTGTCTAAGGGTTTCATTCCTTTGCATACAATCTAGAATATAAAGTGGTATTATTTAAAATAAACCAAAACTGGCGGTATAATTAAATATAAAATATATACTTCAGCCAAACATTCACAAGCAGCAATTCGAAGTCTTAACTCTCCTAATAATTGATATATAAGTGTAATGAACGACTCATTTACAATCAAAGAGATATCAATCCAGGCTGATTATAAATACATGAAATTTTGATTTATATAAATGACATGTAAATTTATGAATTTAAAAGAAAAAAAAAAATAGACGCACAAATATATAGCCCAATTATTTTTAAACACATTTCAGCTACATCTTGGTTTCGAGTGCAATAGTCTTTCAAAATGTCATACCAAGCCGTTGCAAGTTTTTGAACATCATTTCTCCTCATAAAGTCTTTCTAACAAATATACCGAACGCAATTATATAATCAATTAATGAGCATTAAACAGTAAAATAATAAAGAGAAAGGATTATAAGGTACAAATAAGTAAATTAATTAGGAATGCTATCGAGTTGTAACAAATGAATGGGAAAATAAACAAAAGCTCACAATGGATGTATTTCTTTGTGCATCCTCTTTTTTCCTAGGAACAGACAAATTCACTACTTCTTCATCAATTGACATTAATATTCTCAGAAATATATCTATTGCGAGCTTTT